TTCCACGGCGTTCGGGACTCTTCTGGTATACAATAACATCTTTGGTCAGTTTGTCGATCTCGTAATACACTTCGTATTNACTTGTTTTCACTATGAAATCGAGATGTTTAAACAGTGTTTTGATTTCTTTTCGTGAAATTTTTGCTATTCCACGGCGTTCGGGACTCTTCTGGTATACAATAACATCTTTGGTCAGTTTGTCGATCTCGTAATACACTTCGTACTTTGGATTTGACCACGAACCGGTCATGAACTCGGCTGCGAAGACACGGGGAATGAACCATACAAATACACGTACGGTGAACGATAACTTGACCTCAACTGAGCCATGTTTGTCCACATCGAAAATTCGGAAAAATCTGTCCTTCACATAACTGTTGTTAACGGCGGCGATATTGAGGACACGTTTAACACCAATTGATTCACTTATTAACACATTATGGCCTTCTGGTAAGTCCGACATTTTGATGAGTACTGATTGCTCTCTACTCATTGCTGTGCTTTATATAGCACTGGATTGAGTCATTGTAATACAATAAACCTGTTTTAAACGATGACGCTTATGATTGCATTAGCATATTGAAAGCACGTGTTTTTGTTATTGTGCTTTACATCTACATTATCATAACACTACATCACCATCATTAAACTTTATTTAAGGTATTTTAAATTTTATTAAATTACAATTAGTGTTTTTATTAGTGTGCGTTAATTTACATCTACATGGTCATAACACTACATCATCATAAAATTTTAAGGTATTTTTAATTTTATTAAATTACATTTATATTAAATTTTGTGAAATTTAAAATTTTATATTTATGCGGCATTCACAAATTTTTAACGGCAATCAAAAATTTTTGGCGGCATTCAAAAATTTAGAGGCATTCACAAAATCGTTACGTATTTTGTGAACGCCCCCACCCCTCCGTAATTTGTGAACGTACTATGTGAATGCACCCATCACGCTGTACTATTGTGAACCACGGCATCCATAAAGTACGTCCATTTAATGGCTATATCTTGGTAGGATATAGTCGACGTAATTGATTGCAGATCCATCCCTCCAACGCTATATCCACTACTTGTATATTACATTATACCTATAGCAATTATTGCAATATGTTAATTAGATATAGCAATACTCACATGAACATGGTCACTTATGTAATTAGGAAAACTTGTAAATATTACCGTCAATAATTATAAAATCAAATTAAGTTCTATTTCTAAATGTAAATAATTTAAAAGTTTATAACAGATGGTTATAAATAATATTGCATATATTAAAATATATTGCACAAATTGATTTATAACATTTTTAAAGTCAATCTATTATTTATAGTGTAAGTTAGAAATAATTTTTTGTACACATATATTATTGTATATTATCTGAAATGGAATAATTATCAAAATATTACCAAACAAAAATTTAAATTTTCCCGAGCATTCCCGTTTATTAAAAGCTTGTTTAACAATATCCGGATCACCGATAAGTATGATAGGTATGGGACCGACCCATACGGTCACCACCGGTCCATACAGTTTGTATAGTTTTGACACTTCTTGGTTTATGTGGTGTTTTAGATTTATAAATACTATTTAATTTAAAATTAATTAAATATTGATTAAAATTCTTTACATACGTGATGATTTAGTTTTAAAATTTTATTAATATAAATATTATTAAATTAACTAACAAATAAAGATAATTAAATTATATGCGTACATAGTAGGTTACCAATTACTGGCAATAAAATTGGACCAGGAGGATAGTTAGATAACTTTGAATAAAATCCTACCAGGTAAAATGCAATCGTTCCAAATATAAATGTGACATAAATTTCAAGCCATGTTATACTATTAACAATAAAATTAGTTTTAATAATAATATTAAGTATATTACAGTATACTTATTGCATATTACTATATGTTAATTAGATTTATCAATATTCACATGAACATGGTCACTTATATAATTAAGAAAAAGTGAAGAATCTAAAAGTTGATAACAGATGGTCATAAATTATACTGCATATATTTACTAAAATTTACTAATTATAAACATCATTAGATGATAGCAAAATAATAGCTCATACTTTTATACCAAAACAATTAGAGTACAAACACTATTTAGTTAAACAAAAACTCAAAATTTAATACAATTATAAATTTCTGTGCAATGTTAATACAATTATAAACCGATATTGTACTGACTTTATAAAACTGATGGTAATAATTATATTAGAAATATACTGTATATTCAGGACAAGATTCTGTAAATTATTCAATCCAATAAGTAATAAAATGTAAATGGTTAATGTCTTTCAAAAATCAATCATAATTAGGTTTAAAAGGTTTATTTTAATAAAAGTATTTTATTTTATGTATTATAAATATTATAACAAAAGATGGCATGAATTAATAAAAATTATATTGTAAAACCAATTCATTTAAAAACTATTTTTTAAATTAAAACATTTTGCATAAACAATAATTACTTTTCAAAAATAATTTCAAAATCAATAGTCTTTAAAATCAATGCCATGCCATCGGGGTGGGGTTGCAAACTATCGGGATCATTATATCGGTCCACTAGCTTTATCGGGTGGTCGTTTGTATATTGTAAAATGTTTACCATGATTAAAAATAAACTATTTATAGCCATCAATTCTCCGATACACGTTCGTCTACCGGCACCAAACGGTATATGTGCTGATGTGACAATAGAATTGAAATTACCTTGCTTATCAAGAAAACGTTCAGGTTTAAATTGGTCAGCGTTTGAAAAAAGTGCATCATTTGTTGATATATGCCATGAATGTTGGATCAGTATTGTTTGACTGGGAACTGGGTATTTGCCGCCTAAGCAATATAAATATCAATTGAATTTCTATTAATTAAACATGGTTTTAAAATAAGATTTAACCTAATATGGTATCTGATAAAGTCATATGCGGTGCCCCAACAGGTGCTGCGCTTCTACAACGAATCGTCTCGTATATGAATGCCATAACATTATGCAAATGGTGTTTATCGGTCACAACCGGTGCCCTATCGCCCAGTCTATCGTTCACTTCATTTCGCATGATTTGCTGCCAATCGCTATAATATACCAGAAATAGTATATTCCATACGAGAGTTGTATACGTGGTCTCCATTCCCGCTTTTATAATGAAATATTATTTAACTTATGTATGAAATTAATTATTATTACTATTAATAATAACAGTCAGTGAACCTCATAATAAAAAGTCCATTCAGTGACCTGGCAACTGTTTGCCTTTTATATAAAGACTAAACTGTATTGATAATTAATTTTCAATTGAAATATAGTAACTCAATCAATACCTAAGTACATGTCCATAACTACGGCCGCAATATTATTATCATTCAAACATTCAAAGCCCGGCTTTTCCTCCGCCTCTGCCCGGCGTTTAGCGTTGAGAAACTGATTGCAAAAGTCTCGGCCATTACTCTCGTTGTAGTTATTATCGCGTAATTTTAATTCATTTAATGTGTAATCAAAACACTTGTTATATGTTTGTTGTAATTTATGCAAAGGATTGGCCATAAAATATCGTGCAAAAGGTATAAACTCGTATATGCCATATAAATTGTTAGTATCGTATGCAACGCAATGGCTTGGATACTTAAAATTTGTGTACATTTCCTGATTCATCCTAGATTATTTTTATGCAAATTATATTTGATGTTTATGATTACTTAATAATGTGCATTATAATTATTGTGTTTATTTTAATTTACTTGTGGCTGAAAAGAGTGACATTAAACATATTCATAACCAATTCGTGACAATAAGATTGCGGTTTAAACGGCCGATCGATTCCCTCTTTGGTCAACATTTGTGCAAATATTTCGCCGACAGTTGTGTTCAATAATTTTTCAAAATCCGTTGATTTTGTGTATTTTCTAATAAATTCAGTTTATTAAATAAATGACTAAATTTTTAAAAACATGATGAGAATAAAATAAATCTAATACCGAATAGTAGACATGGTCATTTTTCTCAGCTGAAACGCACTTTCTAAGTGACTATTGAATGCCACATCTCTATGATTGTCATCGCTAAAAATTGATCCTAACAATAATTTAATGCAACTCATTAATCTTATTTAATGCCCTATGTACATTTATAACACCATACATATTATACAATCCATTATTTATAGTGTGAGTTATAAATCATTTATTTTATACAATATAATATATTATACAATATTATTGCATATTATATAAAATGAAATAACTAACTATTATAATATTATAATATTATAATTAATATTATTATAATATTACCAAGTAAAAAGTGAATTTTTCCATCACATTCTCGTTGATTAAAAGCTTGTTTAACAATATCCGGATCACCGATAAGTACGATAGGTATGGGACCAATCCATACGGTCACCACCGGTCCATACAGTTTGTATAGTTTTGACAGGTCTTGGTTTATGTGTTGTTTTAGATTTCTAAATACTATGTAAATAAATATTAATTAAGTGTTAATTAAAATTCTTTGCATACGTGGTGATTTAGTTTTAAAATTCTATTAATATTGATATAATTATTAGCTAATAAATAAAAATAATTAAATCATATGCATACATAGTAGATTGCCAATTACAGGCAATGGAATTGGACCAGGTGGATAGTTAGATAATTTTGAATAAAATCCTACTAGGTAAAATGCAATCAGTCCAAATATAAATGTACCACAAATGTCCAACCACGTCATACTATTAACATTAAAATTAGGTTTATGTACTGTATATTACATTATACTTATTGCACTTATTGCAATATGTTAATTAGATATAGCAATACTCACATGAACATGGTCACTTATGTAATTAGGAAAACTTGTAAATATTACCGTCAATAATTATAAAATCAAATTAAGTTCTATTTCTAAATGTAAATATTACAGTATAATAGGAAAAGCCTTAGTTTAGTATAGTGCCCATTGAAACCCATGTTATTCACCCAAAAGGGATTAGCCCCTCTTTATTTTCCTCTCCCCATTCGCGCACAGTTTTCACATTCCTTTGCCAGAGAACCGGGTATATAAGGACCGTCCGGTTCTCCAGCACTGAAACTATTAGATAAGCTCTACCATCTGAAAGGTTGAGAGTCTCTGTTGACTCTCCCTGTATTGAGACAACATTTTTAACCACAATTCAGTATGAATAATGTGGTTTATAGGACCGTTCTGCCTTTTACTTTTAATAATTAAATTCATTTATATTTAATTAAGTTTGTTATTTATTGTTTCACCCGGATTTGGAGGAATCCGGAAAGTAAGAGGTAAGTTCCGGGGACTGAGTCCCCGGAAAGTAACTATATATCCCGGTTCAGGGATCGATACCTGTGCTATACGCCCATTATATTGTAATATTTATAAATGTAAATAATTTAAAAGTTTATAACAGATGGTTATAAATAATATTTAGGGCAACCGCGTGGAGACGTTTTGGAGACGTTTTGCATAGCTTTGAGCACAATAATAACTATTACAACTATTTGTTCATTTTAAAGCACTAGTTGTGCTATGACTCTGTCACTAATTCATGGTTTTTGTATAGACTGCATATTATATGACTCATTTTTTGGTTTCCCTACTAGGGAAAGTGAAAGAGTCATAGCACAACTAATGCTTTAAAATGAACAAATAGTTGTAATAGTTATTATTGTGCTCAAAGCTATGCAAAAAGTCTCCAAAACGTCTCCACGCGGTTGCCCTAATAATATTGCATATATTAAAATAAATTGTACTAATTTTCAACATCATTAGATGGTAGCAAAATAAGAGCACTATAATAACAAATAATAGCAACATATTCATTTATTCAATTCATTTAAATTCATTTAAAAAGTATTTTTAAAATTAAAACATTTTGCATAAACAGTAACTATTTTTCAAAAATAATTTCAAAATCAATAGACCCTAAAAGCAATGCCATGCCGTCCCGGATGGGTTGCAAACTATCGGGATCATTATATTGGTCAACTAGTTTTATCGGGTGGTCGTTTGTATATTGTAAGATTTTTACCGTGATTAAAAATAAACTATTTATAGCCATCGATTCTCCGATACACATACGCCTACCCGTGCCAAACGGTATATATGCTGATGACTCAATGGAATTAAACTGGCCATGCTCATCAATAAAACGTTCAGGTTTAAATTGGTCAGCATTTGTAAAATATTTATCGTTAGTCAATATGTGCCACAAATGGATGATCAGTATTGTTTGACCGGGAACTGGGTATTTGCCGCCTAAGCAATAAAAATATTAATTAAGTTACTATTAATTAAACAAAATTTAAAAATAAAATATAACCTAATATGGTATCCGATAAAGTCATATGCGGTGCCCCCATAGGCCCTGCGTTTCTCCAACGAATGGTCTCGTATACGAATGCCATAACATTATGCAAATGGTGTTTATCGGTCACAACCGGTGCCCTATCGCCCAGTCTATCGTTCACTTCATTTCGCATAATTTGCTGCCAATCGCTATAATATACCATAAATAGTAGATTCCATACGAGAGTTGTATATATGGTGTCCGTTCCCGCTGTTGTCATCAATTATCATGAAATGAATAAATTATTATTTAAAATAACATTCAGTGGACCCCTTTATAAGAAGCCAATTTAGTGATCCTTATAGAGAAACTTATCTGTATTAAAAATTAAATTGCAATTGAAATGCTGTAACTCAATCAGTACCTAAATACATGTCCATAACTACTGCCGCGATGTTATTATCAATCAAACATTCAAAGCCCGGCTTTCCCTCCGCCTCTGCCAGGCGTTTGGCGTCCATAAACTGACTGCAAAAGTCTCGGCCATTGCTCTCGTCGTAAGTATTATCGCGTAATTTTAATTGATTTAATGTGTAATCAAAACACTTGTTATATGTTTGTTGTAATTTATGCAAAGGATTGGCCATAAAATATCATGCAAAGGGTATAAACTCGTATATGCCGTATAAATTGCTCATATCGTGTCCGAAAAAATGGCTTGGATAATGAAAGTTTGTGTACATTTCCTTATTCATCCTAGATTAATAATATGCAAAGTGTAATGATTAATTATGAATACGTAATAATGAGTATTGTTACAATTATATTGTTAATTGTAATTTACCTATGGTTAAAAATAGTGACATTAAACATATTCATAACTAATTCGTGACAATAGGATTGCGGTTTAAACGGTCGATCGATTCCCTCTTTGGTTAACATTTGTGCAAAGATTTCATCGACAGTTGTTATTACAATTCAACACGTCTGCATGAAAATCAGCTTATGTTGTATGTATTTACGTGTATATGAATCAATAAATTCAATTCAATTCAGTTGTGTTCAATAATTTTTCAAAATCCGTTGATTTTGTATATTTCCTATTAAATAAAGTCAGTTTATTAAATAAATAACTAATTTTTCTAAAATATGATTATCGTAAAATAAATCTAATACCGAATTGTAGACATGGACATTTTTCTCAGCTGTACCACACTTTCTAAATGACTATTGAATGCCACATCTCTATGATTGTCATCGTTGAAAATTGATCCTAACAATTATTTAAAGCAACTCATTAATTTTATGTAATGCCCTGTGTAAAATATAAACAGCATAAGTTGATTTATACCACCTTAAAGTAAATTCATTATTTATTGTGCGAGTTATTAATCATTTATTGTGTACAATATAATATATTGTACAATATTTTTTTGTATATTATATGAGATAAAATAATTATTAAATATTACCAAGCAAAACTTGAAATTTTCCCGAGCATTCTCGTTTATTAAAAGCTTGTTTAACAATATCCGGATCACCAATAAGTACGATAGGTATGGGACCGACCCATACGGTCACCACCGGTCCATACAGTTTGTATAGTTTTGACAGTTCTTGGTTTATGTGTTGTTTTCGATTTCTAAATATTATACTATATAAATATTTAAAAAGTAACTTTTAAAAATACTTTATAAATACTACTTTGTATAAATATTAATTAATTATTAATTTACTTTTTTGCAAATGTGATGATTTAGTTTAAAAATTCTAGTAATATAAATATTATAATTAGCTAACAAATAATTAAATTATATGCATACATAGTAGATTGCCAATTACTGGTAATGGAATTGGACCAGGTGGATAGTTAGATAATTTTGAATAAAATCCTACCAGGTAGAATGCAATCAGTCCAAATATAAAGGTGACACAAATCTCTAACCATGTTATACTATTAACATTAAAATAAGTTTTAATAATAATATTAAGTATATTAGACTTATTACGTATCTATATGTTAATTATTGATAGATATAGCAAAACTCACATGAACATGGTCACTTATTTAATTAAGATAAATTGTAAATATACCAATCAATAATTATAAAATTTAGTTATACAACATTTATAAATGTGAATATTCATAAAGGTAAATAATTCAATAAGTTTATTACATATGGTTATAAAATTATATTACATATACTTTACAGATTATCAGAATTAAAATAAAATTTACCAACTTTAACATCATTAGATGGTAGCAAAATATTGCAATATAAATTACTCTGATGACGAAACAATTAGAGTACAAATTATATTTAGTTATTTAAACTAAAAATTTAATTCATTTAAGAGCAATGTTAATAGAATTATAAATTGATATAATATTGTGATTTAATAAATTTTAGTGATGATCATATTTTATATTCTTACTTTAGTACTACGGTATTATACATATAGTAATGTCCTAATAACGATATAACTTATATAAATGTACTGACTTATACATTATAATTATGTGATGAATAGCTAGTAATTGAATTTTGATAAAACAAATTAAAAATTTAATTCATTTCTAATATTAAAAATATAAATATGATTACGAAATTATAATAATCTAAATATATAAAATAATTAATACTAGTTTACATTAATTAACAATTATTTTCTATCTGATATACAAATATGATATTAGTACATCTAGATGTAATTTAAATGTTCTACTAGCTTTTCTAAGTCAAACTGAACAACTAACAAATTATTCTACCGGTAGTACATTAAAAAAGTACAGTAATCATTAATGATGTAATTTTGACACATTGATAGTTTTATTATGTTGAATTTAATTATTTAGATATAAATAAATGTACTTTGCGGAATTTTCCTTTTATTTTCATGTGATAATAAATAATAAATTAAAATAATTAGTTATTAAAGCTAATTTATAAGGTAAATTTTATATATTTGTTTAACATTTAAATATACTGTGCATTTCTTTAGATGATAAGTATTATTTTAGAATAGAGAATATTGTATTCAATGTACTTTATTTAAATGTAAGTTTATTTACTGTACATAGATGCTTTTATATTTTAAAATGCATTACATTAATGTAATGATTTAGATCACAATATAAGATCAGTATAATATTATTAATCAATAACTGTAGCTATATACATACTATGTACAGTACTTTATGTCGACATTGTTCACATACTAAAATACTTTAACATAACTAATAATTCTTAAGTAAAAATAAGTCTACTATTCAATTGCATTTACAAAATATGGATTCGATCAATACGAACATGGTCATACCTCATACCTTAGTCACTCGATCGGCAAGTAACCTGTTGTATTCAAATGGTTTGTGTCACACATGCAGTCAGTACGAGATTATTACCCGGCGTAATATTTTCAGACATCCATTCATTATAAACACACTTATGGTCATATTTCTATCGCAATTCACCATATCGCTTCTATTTGTCCCTGATACAAACCACTCCATCAAGATACTATTGGGCGATTGGGCTTATCTGATGAACCTTCCCATACATCTAGATATATTCATAATGTTGTGGACATTAATGAATATACTGTTTCGCTCATTTTATTACTACAATTACAAACGTGGTATAAAACCAACATTTCTGACACTGTTTGATATGTTTGCCGGTTATATAACACCCGCGCAGTTGGGTCTCAACGATCGTCGAGTGGTGTATACGTTGGCCAAGAGGTCACGTGTTTTGTTTAAATTTGCACATTTTGTGGGCCAGTACTGCGAGCCTATATATGTCGTATACGTACTCTTATTATATGTACAAAAGTGTACACTAATGGAAATAATTATCTACGGCATACCCCAAAGTTTGTTTCTTACCCTGGTTAATTATAGCACCGTGCACCAAATCATGTGCCTCGTAATATATTTCTATCTCCTCTGTCTGTATCTAAAATGCAAAATACATGTCATTAACGATAATATACGCAAACATATACATAAAGATAAGTGTTTTAATCCAATATTCATTAGGAGAACAATGCATTTATTGAATAGTATTTACATTGAGATCAATGAGTATAACATCACGTATTGGTCACAATATATATTGATTTTGTGGCTAATTTTGGGTTCAATTGTTTCGCTTATGACATATGTAGTGATATTCCAAGACATGCCATTCGTAGTCCGTGTAATATGTGTTTACGCCCAGTCTGTGGTGATGTACCCCTTCATGTTTACCATGGTATCATCGGCTGCCATCAACCATGAGGCTAATCAATCAGGGCGATTGTTGGAAATGTACTATGCTCACAAATGTGTGCATTTCATACCATTGAACACTAATCGCCTGCAAATGATGGACACAATTAGTGATAATATTAGGAAACGGTTACTATTCTTAGCCAATACAAGTAGACAACAAGTGAAATGACTAGGCAGGCCAACTGTCCACTATTTGAGTGGACAGTCCACTATTTTGGGGTTCTGTACACTAAGAATTGAGACCAAATAGTGGACATTGAATTACCAAATATTCGATTTTAAGAAATTTAAAATAATTTTTATAAAAACAACAAAAATTATCATTAAATAGGGGTATTTTCTTATAAAAAATGAAATAATTTATTATTAGTAAGTTCTAATAATGTTCGCATTATAGTGTACATAATAAAATATATTGTTATTTATAAATAAAATATATTCATCAACTAGTTTAGAAGGTAAAATTGACCTAAAAATAGAGCCAAATATATGTCCACTATATGTCCACTATTTTTAGCATATTTTCGAGCAAAATATAGCAATTGTCCACTATTGAAAATTTTTGAGTTGGCCAGCCTAGAAATGACTGTTATGTTTAACATGTGTACAGATAATTGTATTAGTGGTTATTTTATTGTTTTAATATTTATTATCTTACATAAATATAATAAATTATTTTTAATAAACATGTTTTGGCAAATTTTCTAATGACTTATTTAATTTACAATAAAATACAGTTATAATTACTATACGTTAATTTAGTATTTACAGTGTTTTATCAACTGGGTGAACCGATTGGGTTTTAGCATTTGGTTCACACAAATGATATATTCATACAACTGATTACATGTTAAAAGTAAGAATATGTTGTTGTTTTATAAATATAGGCGACATTACTTGGTTTTTGTATGCATTAGTGATCTCTTTATACTGTAATTTAACTTTATGCTAAGGTTTTTTGGTTTTGTGTACAGAAATATTAATGATGTCATTTATGTGTGAGTTGTGTCACATAATATATGTGGTTCACACAACCGATTGTATTGAATATAGTATAATATTAGCTCAATGTTGTTCACACAAATGATATTTTCACACAGTTGACGTTTACACAGTTAATACTATTTTAGCATTGTGTCTATGGACTGCGGGTTTTGGTTTTAGGGTTTGGTTCATACAAATGCTAAGTTCACACAACTGCTTGTTCACCCAGTTGATAAAACACTGTAAAT